GATTTGTCAATGCTATTTGGTTAAAGAGTTCAGGGGACTTGGAAAAATATACAAAATCAGAGAACATAGATTATGAATCCTAGGAAGTCTCTAAAAAATGATTCTGTGGAAAAAGAAAATAAAAGTTCGTCATTTGTCAACAAGGACTGCAATTGACAATTGCTCAAAGTAATGAATGCTTGTAAAGAAACACAAAGGATTTCAGAATTGACAATGGAACAAGTAGGATCGTCAGAATCCTCATGGGGTGGGGTGGATATAATCTCATTCTCATACGACCCTCGAGTCGATTTGGAGACATACATGAACTTTCTATTCGTATTCAAACTGAACGTCTACGTGCGCATACTTTCTCATCAACTGGACAACGGAGAAAGTGAAGTTCGCTAAAGTTTGGCATTCTTCATGGGTTTTGACCTCAGAAACAACCCCACATATGATCAACTTCTTCAAATTGGGGCACCTTCCTAGAAGTTTTCCCATCCATTCAGAGAAAAATTCGCTAACTACACTCCATCCAAGCTCAAGTACTACCACATTCAACAAATGAGATGACCCCTGCAAGCTATGCTGAAGGGTTCCATCTTTCAAATCATAACATAGTGATAGATGGCTTAGCCGAGGAAAACACATACAAATAGTCTCTAAATCCACTACCTCGTCGTCGTCATCAAATACAACACCCCAAAGCCGAAGCTTCCTTAACTTCGATGACTTCGAGATCATGTGGTAGAATTTTGGCCACATAATTGTGAAGTTGCAGACATCTACAACCTCAAGATTTTCCGTGTTCTCACCAATGTCAAGATGGATAACACTAACATCGTCAATCCTTAGAACTCTCAAAGCTCCCTTGCTAACTACTTCAAACAGCTCAAGGGTACAATCTTTTAAATGCATTGCTTCAAGGGTATCAGCCTCCAATATAAACTTGTCCAAACTGATTGCTTCAACATATATATCTTTCAATGAAGAACTGCTAACTTCCATATCAGACATAGCAATGTCCGGACTGATCAGAGCCAATTTCTCGAGTTTAGGACAAGTGGTCAAAAGAAGGCTCAAATCCAATGTAGAGACACTGACATGACTAAGTGAAAGAGATTTTAAGCAAGGGAACTTCTGATAGCTGGGTTCGACCCCTGTTATAGAGTTATGAGCCAATGCCAGCACTTCAAGCTTCTGTCGACCACATTTCTCAATAATATTAAAGATCGGGGTTGTCTTCACATTATAGTGCAGTTGGCGCAAAGTATCCCTGGTATACATGAGCCAAGCCATCACGGGTGCAGCAGAGAATTCATCAACTTCATCCATTGAAATTGCTAAATGTTGCAGCGCAGTTGTCTGAAATATTGTTTGAGTTATAAGAATTTCCAATCTGCTGGTTGAGAGTTCATGATAGACAGGCCAATCATGAGAATCAAAAGAGAGGGTGTGAAGGTGATTGCGCCAAGCCTCTCTCCATTTCTTGCAAGTTGCCGAAGCAATCACTGCATCTCGGGCACCTCTGAGCTGGGAAAGTATGTTTCCGATCACTTCAACAGGAAGATGCTCCATTTCCGATAAAGTAAGCACAGATGAAGCAATTACTTCCAGAAATTTACACACAACATCAAATTACAGTACCCAAAACCATGAATACACACCCAATTACAAGATTTTAACTAAAGTCGGCCTGTGTTCATCATCTGTACCATCTGCAGCAGTTAATAAGAAGAAGAGAACGAATAAACACGGGTTTTCGTATCGCCAAAATCAATCAAATTGACATAAGTAATTCAAGACAACTTCCCAATAAAGTACTGGATCTGAAAACAGAACAAAAAAGAAATTATCTACAAAAACAAATTCTCACATCTAAAGTCTTAATGAAATCTATAATCAAGGGTTTTACTAAAACAATAATGCTCACTCAAAATCCCCCGAATTTCCAATCTGTATAGGAAATCGGATCGTCAACAAACAGAAACAAACAAATTGACGGAACCAGATTGAAGGAGTTAGAACAGGTCGAACCACCAATCTAATTCTCTATACAAGTAATCGAAGCGTTAATCTATGAACTGAAATACGTAAACATAATAAAAAGAAGAGTCAAATCCTGAATAGGTGACTTGGCTTACTCGATACTGAGACGAAAATAGTCTCGATCGAACTGGAACACGGCGGCCATAGCAATTCGCCGGCGAAACGAGGAATTAGGGATTAGATGGAAGTTAAAACATATGGAAATCGAACAAAGATAAGATCGGAATCGGAACTTCGCATTCCATTGCTTGAGAAAAAGGAAGCGATGGAAAGAAATAAAAAAAATAAAATAAAATAAAATAAAATATTATAATAATGAAAATAATAAAAGTTGGGAGTGGGAATGTGTTTTCAAACATTGACCAATGCTATGCTCTAAACCCTATAATCCTTTTCTCATATTTTTACCTTTTATTTTTTTATTTTTCATATTATATTTTTACTAATTTTAAAAGAAAAAAAAATCATAATTTACTAATTTAATAAAATAAATTTCACAAAAATCCCAAACTTCAATAATAACTGAGTTTTTTTAATTGAAATTTTAACAATTTTCATATGCTTAAAATTAATATATATATATATATATATATATAATTAAAATTATCAGCTTCTCAAAGACCATTTTCAATATATTTTTAATATGTTAAAAAACTTAAAATTAATTCAATTTATTTCTAATAAAATTCAAAAAAAAAAATCAAATAATTGAAGAAAAATTATAAAATAAAAAACCCCTAAAAATGTGAAAATTGACACCATTAATAAAAATAAAAAAAAATAATAATAAAAATCCCGGCAGGACTATACTTTTCCCTCCATTTTTCAATTATCTGGCTTGCTGTATCAAGAATGGCGCCAAATCCCATTCTCGGCGAGGATTTTCCAAGCTACGGACCGGAAAAGATACGCTTCTTCTTCAAAGCGTCGAGGATGTGCGTCCGGGGAGCGCATACCTTTGTTCGTCTGTGGCTGATGAACGACGGTGATTACTTATTACTCCGATGATCTTTTTCATTTTCTTGCAATAATCTTTGATTTCATTTCAATCCCTAAGCTATATCGGAAATATTTCGTCTCGGTATCTGCTTTATTCTATTCTCTCTTATCGGCCTACTCTTGAGATCATTGACCTTGTTTGGCCTGTTTGGTTGCTGAGAAATCGTCGGAAACGATGGAAAGAAATCCGTTCTTGAAAACCCTAATGCTTCTGATTCGTAATCCGATGTGACGGTTTAGATTTTCAGGACTTTCTGAGTTTTTCATAATAGATAGATAGGTTTCCGCATAGATGCATAATTTTTTATTCTCTCAACTTTGCTCTTCCTTTCATTACTTTGCTTCCCTTAACTCGAAGGAGCTTAAAAAGAAATTATAGTTTCAAGTCTGAACAAAAACTACAATTGCATTGCTTGCTTTATGAATCGTTTTCTTTTCCTGATACGATAAAAAATGATAAAGATCGGATGAACGAGTGTAAGAAGTTATTAGTCTTTAACTCTGTCCACTCATTTTTCGCTTCCATTTTGTCCTCCTGGAGATGCAGAATCATAGTGTAATCTTTGTTAGATGCTCGAACTCTTTGATAGATATTATATATCGTGTACATCATGCATGTTTGATCTGTTGTACATTTTCATTTACTAGAGGAGGAGTATCCAAAAGGAGATCCCTTAATAAAATTCTATTATAGCCTCCTGAGCAACCTCCTTTAACCGAGGCTTGACTTCTTTTCTGGAGTCCTCGTCATTTGTTTTATACGTGAGTCACTTTGACTACATCTTCAAGACTCACTCAGAACTTCTTTATTCGACATTTGAGGATTCTATTGACATGACTAAGTGAAGGGCATGACTCTGATACCATGTTAGGGATCACGACTCTCCATAATGATATGATATTGTCTACATTGAGCATAATCTCTCGTGGCTTTGCTTTGGGCTTCCCCAAAAGGCTTCATACCAATGGAGATGTATTCTTTATTTATAAACTCAATATCATTTCCTAAATTAGTCAATGTAGAACACCTTCCCAACCCTCTTCAACTATATAAGTTGAAACTTGAAACTGGGCATTTCAGCATTTGGAGGTTTCCTCTGGGAGAAGTATACGACATAAGATGATCCCAAAAGGTGTAATTTTACCATTGCAAACACATTTGAGTACCAGATGTACTTTGACAACATCTGGCATGGGAGCGAGGTGGGGAAAGCCATTGATGAAGCAAGATTGGGAAAGAAATTACTGAAACCGTTGTTGAATTTTCCTACCCTGTCCTTTGAAATGAAATCAAACCCATAAACCATTCAAATTACTCCATCTGGGAACTAAGCGGCAGCTGAGAAAGCCTGATGGCTTTTAAAAGATGATCGACACCTGTTTTTGTTATAACTTTGGCTTTGGACTGTTGTAGCTTTTTGGTGGATCGCATCCCTTTTGAAATTACAAAAATTGTTGGGTTGATCATCCTTTCTCATCATTACAACATTTGACTCTTCACATGTTGATAATATAGCTACTTGCATTGGGAAGGAAGGACTCTATGATATGATACTTAGTTTTGAAGACATTTCAAATATCTATAAAATCTTTAAATTTATCTAATTTTTGTAAACAGTACTTAATTAATTATAATCCACCTTCATTAAAAATGTATTTATTTAACCATATACATATAATTCATTTTTATGATCTTTTTGTTTCTTAATAAAAAAATTTAACCTCAATGTACCATTCACTACAAAATTAAGAGCAAAATGGATATGCATTAAAAAGTTTAGGGTAAAATTATTTGGTAAAGATTTTTCCATGTAGCATAGATAAGGACTATATAGCTTAAATTTGCATGACTAAAATTTAAATTACATGTATAGTCATTGTGACTAAAATTTTTTCTTCCAATTTTAAGTTTATGGCATATAGTTTGTAATTTAGTGATTAGTAATTAGTAGAAAAAGATTAGACTGCGGTTGAGCAGAGGCAGCGGGGGTTTAGTTGAACCGAATTGCTATTGTTTGCCCTTGCTCTGCGCAAGAATCAAGATTATTACTCGTTCTGTATCTCTTCGGCGGAAAACTCTCGACCGAATTTGGATTTTGCATCGAGCGCTCTCCAACGATTATCGGTACTACTGCGAAGCATTTTCAGGTGCCCTTAATGCATTACGCATTTTCCCTTTTCGTTATCTTCCTTTGAAGTTCTGTCTTTTCTCTGCTCTGAGTGTGTTTTCCCTTGTAGCTCGGTTTATTGGCTCTAATTTTCTTCTGCTATTGAATTCGATTGATAATGTGTAATGGGTTTCGAGTTTTCTTCTGTTCTTCAGCTGTGGGGTTGATTAGATACACTTTTGCAAGTCAGAGTTCATTTATTAGTTTCTGCGAAATCTTGATTTCTAGAATTTGTTTTTCGTTACATTTCCCTTAGGTCTCTCTGCCACTAATCTTCTGAATTTCAGACCTTTTATGTATCTGAATTTCTTTTCATTTTCAGCTGCATTGATTCAGTGTTAGATGATGGCTAGTTATGTGTCGATGAATTTCTCTCTTACTCGAAACCCTGTTGGAATGCTGTCTGCTCTTGGAGGCAGACTATCTATGGAGCATCAGTCGGGGAAATGCTATATGAAAATGCCCGAGGATAGGAGTGGGTTAGTGGGTATCAATCAAAAATCAAATTTGGCCAAGTCTTCTTCCAATTCTCACAATGTTAGCCATTATCAGAACAGGGACCCATTTATGGAGTTACACCCTGAAATTTCAATGCTAAGAGGCGAGGGAAGCAGTACAATTAATAGCCCAAGAAAGGACAATTTGGGTGGAATTACTTCCGAGAGCTTGGAAGATGCATCCAGTAGTAATTACAATGAGGCAAAGATTAAAGTTATTGGTGTTGGGGGTGGTGGATCAAATGCTGTTAATCGTATGATAGAAAGTTCAATGCAGGGTGTGGAGTTTTGGATTGTTAATACAGATGTTCAAGCGCTGAAAATGTCTCCTGTTTATTCTGAGAACCGTCTACAAATTGGTCGAGAACTTACCAGAGGTCTTGGTGCTGGTGGGAATCCTGAGATTGGTATGAATGCTGCAAACGAAAGTAAAGAAGCTATTGAAGAAGCACTTTATGGATCTGACATGGTTTTTGTCACTGTAAGTTGTTTAACTCTTAAAAGTATTGTTCTCTTACTATATCATTCAAGTTTGATCATATATACCTGAACTGCGACCTAGCTTCTTTTCTAACTTCAAGATTGGTTTAGTCTGGAATGGGTGGAGGAACTGGCACTGGAGGGGCTCCTATCATTGCAGGCATTGCAAAGTCAATGGGCATATTGACAGTTGGTATTGTTACTACTCCTTTCTCTTTCGAAGGACGAAAGAGAGCCGTTCAAGCGCAGGAAGGAATTGCAACTTTAAGAGACCAAGTTGATACACTGATAGTTATCCCGAACGACAAGTTACTGACAGCAGTTTCACAGTCTACTCCTGTAACAGAAGCGTTTAATCTGGCTGATGACATACTTCGGCAAGGTGTTCGTGGTATCTCTGATATCATCATGGTATATACAAACCTCAAAAACTTTGAACTTTAAATTCTCTGTGCTTTTAGAAAGCTTTTCTATGGAGTTCATTTCTTCTATTTAGTGGTTTTGTCCACTGAGACTATGAAAACCTCTACTTTTAAAATAATTTATCAAAATTGCGTTATCAAGATTTACCAGGAGATTTTATTGGATATGTAGTTCTACTTTTTGAGATAACTTTGAGGGAAATCGAAATGTCTTTTAGGCATAAATTTATCAGTAGAAGTGATTTATAAACACCCTTTGGGATCTAACGTATGGTTTGTTACTGCATTGCAACAATCAGATACCAGGGCTGGTAAATGTAGATTTTGCTGATGTTCGTGCTATTATGGCAAATGCTGGTTCTTCGTTGATGGGAATAGGAACTGCAACCGGTAACTCTAAGATGCATAATTTTACTGATTTACAAGATTTTATTTCATGTATGAAGTCTGGTCTAATTCTTTTTGGTCTCAACTTTGAGCTTCCAAAATTTTCATTTTATCAACGACCTTTAATGTTAAAACTTATGGAGTTGCTTCATTATTCTTCAACTCTCGTAAGAGAAACTAAACCTTATTTGGATACTTCGAATTCCCATGGTTTCCTCCGTATTATCAAAGATCAAAATAGATTGAGTTGGATAGTTGTAAAAGCCCAAGCCCACCACTAGTAGATATTGTCTTCTTTGGGCTTTCCATCTCGAGTTTCCCCTCAAGGTTTTTAAAACGCGTATGCTAGGGAGAGGTTTTTACACCCTTATAAAGAATGCTTCGTTCTCCTCCCCAACTAATGTGGGATCTCACAATCCACCCCTCTTTAGAGCCAGCATCCTCGCTAGCACTTGTTCCCCTCTCCAATCGATGTGGGATCTCACAATAGTATCCTTCTTTTGTTTCTTTAAGGTAGAACATTTCATTGATTAATGTAACGTAGAAGGCACTGAGCTGGAAAAACCAATAGAACAACAAAAATTGCTGCAATTGGTAGATATCATAGAAAAAGATCAAAACTATAAAAGACCTATTCAAGTAAGACCAAGACGAAGCTATACAAATAATGTTCCCCCACCCCACATCATTCCACTGTCTCTGCTCACATTTGGAAAAAAATCTACTGTTCTTTTCCAATCAAATGTCCCGAAGAATGCATCTAATAGCTTTCAGCATCAAAGAAAGTGGCCTTTGGACATAGTAAAGAAGAAAGCTTGAATAGAATTAGAGAAGGCTATAATATAATATTTGTGTAACTTGTGTTTGGATTGTCCAAAGGAACGAATTATGAAAACTAAGATTTATAAAAACTAATACGTAGGATAAAAGATAGATATCATAAGTGTGAGTTTATGTTACCTGTTTGATAAACAAGCTTGTGTCTTGGGGTAAACCAGCATGATATAACCAAATCCTTCCCTATTGAAATGTTTCTCTCCCTCCCCTTTCTCTCCAAAGTCTAAAATATTTGATCAGCTGCTCTAATATAAACCAATGCTACCCCTTGTTTACATCGATGCAGGAAAGACAAGGGCAAGAGATGCTGCTTTAAACGCTATCCAATCACCTTTATTGGATATTGGCATAGAAAGGGCCACTGGAATTGTGTGGAACATAACGGGTGGAAGTGATTTGACTTTATATGAGGTGTGGCTCTCTCTGTTCCTCTCACCTGCCTATCACAACCTATTTATGCATCTTTATCTCACTGCTCTTAAAAGTTTAATCACTTGTCGTAATTCATAATTTATATACCCGATGTATGCCATACGTTTGATCTACCATGTTTATGACATCGATACAATTCACTACGAACCATAGTTAGATGTAGTGGCTGGTGATTATTATGATGTTTGAGTTTACTTCTTTCCTCTCGTTACCATTATGGAGTTGTAATTCTTAGCCCACACACCTTACGAATCCTGGAAACTACTCACTTGGAAGACGTCACTAAAAAAATTCCTGATACAGAAAGGATGACACATATCCTTAAGAAAATACCTACAAACATATAGATTCATCATGTCAACAACATAAGATTAATTCGTACCCACAAACCAATCTAAGTCTCTTTATATAAAATCTCAGGTATTCTCTCTTCCTAAATCCCAAAACCAACGAAACTTAAGAAACTGAGAATCGAATGTTGAAAATAATAAGACGGAACAGTTCAAAGTTAGAATTGGAAGATTAGAAAATTTTAAATCATTTTAGACACTTTAAAGTTGAGGGACTAAACTTGTAATTTAACCAAAATTCTAACTTGATACGAATCACTGTATTTCTATTATATCATGTAATGTTTGTTTGTTCTCAAAATTTCTCGTGAATAATCACAGGTGAATGCTGCAGCCGAGGTTATATATGACCTCGTGGATCCAACTGCTAATTTAATATTTGGAGCAGTAATAGATCCTTCACTTAGTGGTCAAGTAAGTTATAAGTTCTACCACAATTCATTTGAAGTTTCATTTGGATTTGATAGTCAGGCATTGATGTTTTGGGTTCATCCACATACTAAAACTGTGCTAAAGTTTTTATTTCTTCCTCCGTCCAAGAAGTGAACCATATGAACTTGAATCCCAACTTTGTGGATATTGGCCAAAATGATGTCCTTCTTCCATGGTCTGGTCCTATGGATTTGATATAAATGACCATAATGATGATTTAACTAATTTATAAACTACCTCCACCCCTCCATTTTCAGGTTAGTATAACTCTAATTGCTACTGGATTTAAGCGCCAAGAAGAAAGTGAAGGAAGGCCCGTTCAGGTATTGTCGTGTCTGCATAAAATATGGTGTTAAATTCAGTATTCTGGTGTATAGGTCTGTGACAAGATACACGAAAGCGTGCTAAAGCTTAAGATGAACCCGTTTCGTTTCTTTTATTATAGGCCAGTCAACTATCACAGGGAGAAAACTATTCAGGAATCAACCGTGGACCTTCCTCTTTCAACGAAGGTAGCTCGTTTGAAATCCCAGAATTCTTGAAAAAGAAAGGTCGGTCACGCTATCCTAGAGCTTAATCGCCTTCTTCCCATTTAGCTCTCCTTAGCCACCGTGACCTTCCTTCCTACGTACATATAATATGCTGCTATAGGTGGTAGTATCTGTATACTGTTGTTCGGTTTCGCTACTCTGTATATTGGTTGAGTAATAAATAGCTCATATTATTTTCAGTCTCTCATCTGTAGTTACAATATGAAATATGTTTGTAGCTGAAGAGCTTGAGTTAGTTGTATTCTCCGCTTTGATAAAATTGCTCAACAGTAGTTTCAGCAGAATACGGCAATGGCTGAAGTAAGTAAATGTTCATGGAATTGCCTTAATAAGTTGTTGCAAGTTGATTAAATATAATTGAATCTTCATTAGTTTCATTCCAAGTATCTTAATTATGCATTCTGTAAAGAGTATTATTATGCAAGCTTATGACTAGAGATCCATTTTATTTGCTCCGTAAAGAATATTATTATACATTTTTTCGTTAGATAAATGGGGATTGGAGACTGAGATTATATTCTTTATTCTATCTAATTCTTCATCACATCCTACTTAAATGGAATTGAAAATAGCACCCTACTTAAATGGGATTGAAAATAGATGGCGTGGATGGTCGGATGGAGACCAGGAAGACTTCTCCATCTCCATCATATCCCATGAACGTCTCTATTTATTACCATGTTATACATTTCTTCTCCATCTCCATCTTATCCTATGAATATCTCTACTTATTACCATTTTTTACATTTAGTCAAAAAATACATACATAATTGGAATGATAAACTAAAGTTTGAAGACTTATTGGCATTTTTTTAGCGTTTAAAAACTTGATAGATGCAATCTTTAACGTTTAGAAACTAAATTGATTCCACACTTGAAAACTAATATAAGGATGCACTCTCCAACAACGACCTCACTCTATTTGTAAAAAATCTCTCTCTCCCTCTCAGAGAGAGAGAGAGAGAGAGATTGGATTGTGGCACACAAGTGGAATGGAATGGAATGGAAGGAGAGAAAAGACACGTTGATTTGTCAGTTACCATAGAAAAGAAGATGGGATGTTTATGTTTAAGGTCTGAATGACGTGCATATCAACTTTTCCACCCATTCCCTTTCCCCCTTTACTTACCAAATACATAACATAACATAACATACCCCTTCTTCTTCCTCTTCCTTCTTCTTCCTCTTCCTTCTTCTTCACCTCCATCATAATCAAACCCCAAGCTTCAATCTTTTCCATTACCCACAACACATTATGACTCTCCCTATCAAACCCAACTCCCCATTATCGCCTCATCTCCAACACTCAGATCAAACCACTCACCATCACGACCTTCACACCTCCTCCACCGTCCCGTCCGATGACACCCCCCGAGAGAGGTTAAAGCGCCACCGTGTCGCTGTGGCCGGGCACGTTTGGATCCCTGACAAGTGGGGAAAAGAAGAGTTCTTGAAGGATTGGATCGACGGCTCTGCATTTGAAGCCTCTTTGTTCCCCTCCGGGATCATGTTGGCTCGCCAGGCTTTGGCTCGAGAAGCTAAGAGATCGTCGCCGAATAACAACACCGCCACCGCCGCCACCACCACCACCACCGCCCCTGCTGCTGCTTCCGGAGATTTGAGATTATTAAACGGTTGTTAAACAAATCTTATTATTATTATTATCATCATCATCAAAAGTTGTTGTCGTTGTTGTGGTTGTTGTTTGTTGGAGCTTATTAGATCTAAGATGTTTGATTTGATGATCATGTTCAACTCATTCATGTAGAATTAAAATGCATCTTGCAAAAATATGGGTTTTCTTTTTTCTTTTTATATGGAAAAACAGTTCAGAAAGATAGATAGAATTGCATGGAAGGCTTTGGATAATAGTTCCAATCTGACTTGTCTTTCTACTTTCTCTCCTATAGAACCTTCAAATGATCAGCTTTTTTCAAAACCCTAATTAGTTGAGATAGGATCTCACAATTCTCTTGTCTTGGGAGCCTGATCCATCTGCCTTCGAGGCCCAGCATCCTTACCGACACACTGTTCGGTGACTTGACGTGATACCATTTGTAACATTTTGAGATCCCACATCAATTGAAGAGGGGAACGAATCATTTCTTATAAGGGTGTGGAAACTTCTTCCTAGCACATGCTTTTCAAAACCGTGAAGATGACGGTGATACGTAACGGGCTAAAGCAAACAATATCTACTAGCGATGGGCTTTGGCTGTCACAAATAGTATCAAGTCAGCCATCGAACCGTGCAAGACACTAATTGGAGTAGAGATGGACTTTTTCCATAACAAACGCGTTTTAAAATTTTTGAGAAGAACCCCTTGAAGGAAAAGCTTAAAGAAGTCGATATTTACTAGCAGTGAACTTGAACTATTTTATAGCTTACTTTTTTTTTTCTTTCCAAATTACAAATTTACTACTGAGACACAAGAAGGTTGGATGAGATGTTTTCTGACTAGATTTTGACATTAATAATTGGCATCATATGGGAGACGAGTATTCCAGTTTTACATATCAAAATCGAGAAGACCAAGATTGAGCTCATTTTTATAATATCATCAACCAAGATTGAGCTCATTTTTATAATATCATCAACCAAAATAAACTACATGGGACACCTATATTCAAATGCTAAAAAAGTGAAACAAATCTTACCCATGATGTGATTTTTTCCGATTGTCATCTATCTATCAACTCACATTGAAAAGATTATATATTTGTCATCAAAACCTGTCTATTTTCTAGAATTGTAAACAAGTTTAATCTTACTTCAAATTTATGGCCTTGAACATATTTTATAAAGAACTAATAAATTATAGTCGTGCATAATTTAATAGTAAAAGCAAAGACCGAAGGCCGAATTACAAATGTGAGATATCGAGCTTCGAGTCTCAAATCAAATAAAATAGTATATATCAATTAAATTAAGGTGGCATGGAGAAGTATACCATATAATTGTTCCCAATGCTTCACCCTTATAATAAGAGCCTCAAATCATTAAGAACATTATTTATAGAGTGGGTCCACTCACTACCAAACAAGAATCTCTCCTATTAAAGAAACTCGACATGTCGTTATTTTATCACACATCATATTTAATTTCATTTTTGGACGGTAGGAACTCTGTCCATTTCATTTATTTGTCTATTTTTCAACTATACATTTTTCTATAATAAAATTTATTTAATTCATCAAAATTCAACAATTTAACTACATTTTTCTTACCTAAAATATTAATAATTTGAACTCCGTTCCCAGACAGCATCAACGTGTGAGAGTCTCCATACACCAAGAACAAAAAACTCTGCTTTCTTGAATCTTCACCTATGCAGATCCCACGTTGCTTGAAGAGGAAAACCGTAAGACTGACGACAGTACCTAATGGGCCAAGGCGGGGCAATATCTGCTAGCGGTGGACTTGAGCTGTTACAAATGGTATTGGAGCCAGACACTGGGCAGTTTACCAACAACGAGGACGCTGAGGGGTGGATTGTGAGATTGCATATCGGTTGAAGGGGAGAACAAAGCAATCCTTGTAAGGATGTGAAAATCTCTCCTTAACAAACACGTTTTAAAACTGGGAGACTGATGACGATACGTAATGAGCCATAAACGCCCACCATAAATTCCACCTCAAATCCATCCACAGAAGCATTCTAAATCCAAGTTTTGCATAATGGAGATGTCAAGCTCAAGCATAGATCAGTGCAGATTGTATAAACATGAATGGTCCATGCTTGGCATATCACCTGTGTTATCTGCAATCATACATAGCACTTGAGAAGCAATTGTCTGAGCTCTGCTTGTTTCGTCATTACGTTGACGTTACGAGCTTAGAACTTGATGGATATCGTGACAGTAAAGATCTTTTCTCATACGCATTCGACAACCGATCCATTAATCTATTATACGTTGCAATATCTGGTATAAGCTCCTTATCCAACATCTCATCCACAACCCTTTGCCCTTCCACCTTGTTACCTTCCATGGTGTAACCAGAAATCAAAGTGTAGTACGTTTTGCTATCTGGTTCAAATCCCTTGCTTGAAGCCAATAACCTCAACCTATTAGCTTCCACTGTTTTCCTCACATTGCAAAGCTCTTGGAGAAGAGAGTTCAAAGTCACACTATCAGGAACCATTGCTTCTTTAAGGATCCTCTCTGTTACATTCATTGCATCATTCACTCTTCCTTCTTTCCTCAGTCCATCAATCAAAGTGGTGGAAGCAATGAAGCTTGGAACACTTCCTTCCCTCCATAGCTCCTCCACAACTTCCATGGCTTTCCCTGCATTCCCTTTCCCACAAAGCTTCTCAATAACTCCAAAGTAATCATAATCCTTCGGCAAAACTCGCTTCCTCGAAAAATCGATCAAAATTTCACATGCTTCATGAACCCTGCCTTCTCTACACAGCCCATCCATTACAATTTCACAAGTAACACTTGAGAATTTGCATCCCAGTTCAATCATTTCATAAGCCATTGCAATCCCATCATCAAACTTTCTCTCCCTGAAGAACCCTTTAATCAGAGTATTGAAACTCACCACATTTGGGCAACAACCCTTTTCCCTCATCTCCTTAAATAACTCTAAAGCCAGTGCAAATTGTGAATTGCGACAATACCCACTAATCAAAATGTTAAAAGTGTACAAATCAGGCTTAACCCGATCACTAAGCATCCTATCATAAAACCCCAAAGCCTTGTTAAATCTACCAGATTTCACAAACCCATTAATCAAAATATTATAGATCACAACACTAGGCTTCCCATCAATCAATTTTTTCATGGAATCAAAAGCAAAAACAGCCTCATCAAATTTCGCAGCTCTACAATAGGCAGTAATGGCAAATTGAAAAATGGATTCCGTTTGAGGGCAAGAGAAAATACCATCAGAGCAGGGGCAAGGAGAGGAAGCTAAGAACAGAAGAAGCGACTTGAGCTCAGCGAAACGATCCGTGGCCGCAAGAGTTCTGGACATCCAGGCGAAGGTAGAGTGATCATGGCGGAAGGAATCAATGGATGAAGCCCAATTGAATATATGGAAGTCGTAGTGGGTGAATTTAGGATGAAAATGAAGCTTGGATTTGAGGAAATGGAGGAGATTGTTCGGGGTGAAGGGAAGCGTGAGGTGGGTCTTCAGGAAATGGAGGAGTTGCGCGTAATGGTGGGGAGCGGAGAGAGCGAAATTAGGAAGAGGAGCGAGAAGGGTTCCAGGAGAAGGAGGCAAAATCGCGTCGGGCAATGGCGGCGGCGGAGCTGGTTTAGGGGTTTGAAGCTTTCTCAGGATGGGTGGGAGCTTCTTCATCACAAATTCGATCTCCACGAAAATGGGGAAACTGAGAAATCTGTCTCCGATCAGAATCCGATCAGCTTCCGGCGTTTCATCAACAATATTTGCAGTGATTCCCACGCTTCTCCAAAACCCGTCTCTGTTAGGGCTTAGGATATGTTTCCCTGAATTACCTAAATCGCAAATTTTCGATCTTCAATTAAACTTTATGATTTTTATTTATATTTACATTAATTTTTTAAATTTCATGATTTTTCAATTTTACCTTGAACTTTTATTGACATCAGTTAATTGGTTTTAAAAAATATGAAGGAAATATTTAATATGAAAAAATAACCATTAATTATTTGATTATACTTAATTAATTCTTTAATTAATTACTAAGAAGTGAGTATTAGCGTGCTAAAACTTTAAAATCTAGAATTAAATACAAATTAAATTTAAAATAATAAAAATATAAACTTATAACTTAATAAAATGTAACATTTAAAACTAGTATAAATTATTTTTAAAATTTAACAACTAAAATAATATAATATTTATTTATTTATTTTATTGATGAGGAAAAACAAATGATAAAGGAATAATGGAAATTGGTTTGCTTTTCACTCTTCTCCAAACTTTTACACATTTGTTTATAAATTTTTAAATATATCTTTTAACACTTAAATTCTTATAAAAAAAATATATAAAACAAATTATTACCATAAATACATAATTAAGAGTCCTTGTAGATTATTTTTAAATTAAAAAAAATCTAAACATTCAAGAGTATTAATGTTACTATTAAAAGTTTACGAACATTTTTTAAGATAAGAACAATTTTATTCGTATACATATTTTAAAACTTTTTTACAACAAATTTAAAGTCGTTTTTAAAATTTTAAAAAATATTGATGGGTATCAGTAAAACTTTTAAAAGTTTAAGGTATTTTTGAAACAAAATATTAACTATTACCCTCTAAAATTAAAATTAAGGATGTATTTTAAATTTTTTAAAAATATTAATTTAAAGGTATTATTTAAAAAAATTAAATTTTTTTTTTGAGAGAATAATAACGTAGGCAAGAGGCAGTGCCAGTGCCACTCGAACATTTGTAAGAAAAGGAAAAGAAAAGTCGGTTTGGATTGAGCTTATTATATCAAGGACGGCAAGATATTTTTTTGTTCATGTTATATAACACATTTAATAATTTAAATAATAATAATAATAAAGTTTTTGCAACGATATTTTAATGTTTCCCACCATAAGAAACCTAGATATTTTGAGTCTCCAAAAAATATTTTATATTATTTAAATTTATATTCTAATACGTGTCAATTTTTCGGTTGGATCTAATGTAAAATAATAATAATAATAATAATAATAAACCAATAAAAAAATAAAAAAATAAAACCAGATAAACTTTGAATTTTTTTAACCCTTCAATTGATGCTTGAGTTCGGGTTTCGAGCTCATCAGAGTCATCTCTCGATTGGAACAAGCTTAGTTGTAGTTTAATCCAACATTATAAATTTCGGTTTTAGGCTTCCAACTCTCCCCAAGCTATCTCCTGACCAAAGATACACTGGGTCAGTTTGATTCAAAGATCATAAATTTTGAATTTCTAGATCTAATTTAGATATAAAAAAAAGAGTGCCGTTAATTTACTGCCTTATCAAATTTATTAAAAAAGTGATATAATATCCATACGAGATTGACATAGTAGATTGGTCATAATTACAAAAGTGCCATCAGACCTATGAAAGATTACAACAGCATTTTTAAATGAGTTTGATTTGGAATCATAAAAGAAATAAATTTTAAATTTAATAAATAATTATTTAGGTCAAAATAGAGTCAACGCGCGGAAGTGGTCAACCACTGAGATTGGGTGTTTGATTTGATGGGCCGGGCCCGCTTTCTTCCTCTGATCTCTTCTCCCATTCCCCACTCACTCTCTCTCTCTCTTTCTCTCTCCTCTTTTTATTTATTTATTTATTTATTTTAGTCAATTTATTCACACGTTTCACTATTTTCACACTCTAATAATTCAATTCATGTATCGCAAATAAATTCAGATGCTAATACAGTCTTCTATTAATTAACACCCTACCAAAAAAAAAATTAATTTTAATCTATAGATCTTTAGCGATAAATTATATTTTATTAATGTATTTTAAGACATTTTATTATATACCCGTTTGTAATTATTGCTCAAATTAAAAATTGATGTAAATGTGTGGAAAAATATTTAATACTTACTTTAAATTAAAAGTTATATAGGAAGAAGTTACATGGGTTTCCCATTTCAACCACTTTCCTTTTCTACTAAACCAACCCATTAGACCAAGCATCATAATTATTGCTCTTAAGCCATGATTTTGAGTGCAATTCTCGAGAATTGCACTTCGCTCTAACGTTCATTTATATTCTTCGTACATGGTCATGTTATTATTTTAACACTAGTCATTAGTCGTTTCAAGTAAAATACGCGTAACTATAAAGTTTTGATGATTGAGCCACGAATTTACCCTACAAAAAATTTTGCTACCTTAAGACTGTTATAGTTACGGTCGTCGTTCACTGGGGCTTCGATCGTCGGCTCCCTTGTTGTATGGTCACCAACTTCTTTCTTATTTAACTTTAATTCTTATTTGACTGTGGATTTAGTTTATTCAAATATCTTTTATTACCGTCTAAAATCATAAATACTAAATTTGAATATTTGAAATTAAAAACGAATGGAAAGGTGAGGAGGGAGAGGGAAAATGGGGGGAAGGGCATTTGTGTAATAAAGGAAAGGAATTTGGGCAAAAAGTGAAGCTAGGATCTTTAAATAGGCAATCCTAAATGAATCGCACTACTACGCTCTGTTCAGTTGCAGAGACAAGAAATTCCCATTATCCCATTCTTAACCAAAACAATGGGCAATTCCAACTGTTTGTTCGTCGACCAAAAACCCATCAGAATCATGAAGACCGACGGCAAGATCCTCGAATACAAATCCCCAACTAGAGTCTTCCAAGTCCTCTCCGATTTCTCCGGCCACCAAATCTCCGACGCCGTTCCAGTTTCCCAGCATCTCCACCCAACAGCCAAGCTCCTCGCCGGGCACCTCTACTTTCTGATCCCCGCCGAGGCGGCGGAGAAAAAGCCGAAGAAGACGGTTCGGTTCGCGGATTCGGAGAAGGAAGAAAGCGGCGGTGATGGGGGCGGCGAGAACGGCGGGGGGACGGGGCGGGTGGTTAGAATAAAGTTGGTTATGACGAAGAAGGAGCTGCAGGAGATGGTGGAAAGAGGGGGGATCTCGGGAGATGAAATGATCTGTAAGATAAAAAGTGGAAGTGGGGAAATTAGTTGCACAGAATTGGAGGAAGATGAGGAACAGAGATGGAAGCCCGCTCTTCAAAGCATACCGGAAAGTGAAGTTGCTTGCTAGCTAACTCCTTCCTTTTTCTTTTTTCTTTTTTAGTTTAACATATATACAAACAAAGTTTATGACACACTTTAAACATAATGAGAAAACACTAGAGTTTTTGCCACATATTTTTTTTATTTTTTTTATTTTTTTTTTTTCCTTCAAACTAGAAAGACCATACATAACAAGACAAAGTAGATACAGATACGGATAAGGATAAACTTGAATTACAGTTATCCACCCAACTCACGGTTTGGTTTTGTAATTTTAAATGTGTTCGACCCGCTCAATCTTTTTTTAAAAAAAAAAATGGAATAAGAAACATAATATTATCGTAGGCGTAAAAAGTGAATGATTATGTTTAATTAAAAAGATTAGTGAAGAAATATTTGGTCCATTAAACATTAAAGTAAAAGAATAATAACAGAAAAGGTGGGTTGGGAAAAGTAACATAAAATCTACGGCTTCGACATTATCCTTTTTTTTTTTTTTTTCTAGTTTATTATTAAAAATAATTATTATATTTTTTAAAAACAAAAATCCTTGAAAGCTTTTGCTAATACAATATCTAAACTAATTAAACTATATTTAAAAATTTGTGCATCTAAAATGGATTAATTTGCAGAAGTAAAATTGTAAAAGATAAGATTAGAGGGTAAGAGAAGATTAATGAGTCATATTAGCATAATAAAACTTGTTTCATGAGTATAATTATTGAAAAATATGGTGGCTTGATGCTTATTAGCTCCTTCCATAATGGGCACGAGGGATATGAAGTGCCATTTTTCATTATCAAAATGGTCGATCAACTCAATTAATCAACTAATTTCCCCCACTAAATTTCATAATTAAATTTTGATTCTTGCATATCCAAGCACAAACATTCATTCCTATTCATACCCGTAACCAGATTCATGGGAAACAAGAGCTTCATTGCTCCAATTGGAAACACAAATACCCTAAGAAAGTCTAGGATTTTTATGTGGGAACTCGGATGTTCTTGGTTAAGCACACATGGAATGCTTCAAAGGGAGGTATGCTGAGAGTTGTTTGAAGATGAGTCCAACGTCAACTAATGAAGGGGTTGATCATAAGTTTATAGGTAAGGAATACATCTCTATTAGTACGAGGCCTTTTGGTGAAATAAAAAATAAAGTCAGGAGAGATTATGCTCAAAGTGGACAATATCAGTGAAAGTTCATGATTTCTAATAACAAGTTCATCGTCCATTTATCACGCTCCTAGCTACTGTTATAAGTGCAGATCAGCATCTATGACTGATTCCCACCACTTCAGTAATTGCCCTTTTGCAAGAACAATCTGGGTTATCATTTTAGGAGACTTTTGGATGGTCTATGGCTCCACCAAACGACATTTGGACCCTTTGTTCCATCACTATGATTGGACACCCTCCCAAAAAGGACAAGAACATCCTATGGCTTAACGTTATCCAGACAGGACATGGACTTTTAAGAATATCAATTACTTAGTCTTGAACCCCCTTTTTTGTAGCTATGATTTATCCTCTCTTAGAGTTCACTTGACTTTTTCATCGTAATCCCCTGGATAGGACCCAACGTTGAAAAGAAGAAAAAAAAAAAAAAAACAGTCGTAACCTGATCTCAGACATGAATAACATAGAACATTAGATTAATGAGGAACTTTGAAACGTTAAGATCTTTGGGTGAATAAAGAATGTCCAAGGCACTCGGTCTTCTGGGTTGTGTCTAAAAAAGCACTCCCTAAGTAAGAGTTAGGAGCAGTAAACAAAATTATGCAGCAAACAACAGGAGGGTACTAAACTGTTGGTACCTTTTGCTTGGCATGCCATGCAACAACATCCTTGTATGCCATATTTCCCCCAAAAATATCTAAAGCACTTCCCACGGTAACATCCACACGCCCCTTGCCCGCATCTTTTATCCTTTCTAAGTCGGCCATTGTTGTGACCCCACCTGCATATGTGACAGGAATCTGCCATTTTTCAAAAGTAAGATCAGTGTTTTGCAGCAGCATAAGAGCAGGAAGTTTGAATGTACTCAAGAAGAAAGAATGGTGATATTAGCATATCATTATCGATCTCTTGTCCTTCGAGCAGACACGCAAAAAAGGAAAGAAATTTGAAGGCAATGTGAGGGAGTAGACGAACCAATGAATACTTGCCAAGCAATGTCACTAGCTCTTCATCAATGCCAAGTCTATATTCATCAAACAATAGATGTTAGGATATATAAATTATTACAACCACACCAAGATAATAGCAGCATTTATGACATACTTTTTCCCTTCGACATCGACACCATGGACCAAAAACTCATCTGCATAGTCAGCCAGAAAAGCCAGTACTTCCTCATCGAGAAATACATCGCTGAACTTCTGCCATCTATCAGTCACGATTGCGTATTTACCTTCCTAAATCGAAACTAAATGATAATCAATACAGGAGCCTAAACAAATGTAGGCAAAGCCCCAAATTGAAAAGGACAATGTTGAGTAAAAAATATAGCAAGAAGTGCTTTAAAGTTCGTTCAGTCCACAAGTTACAAAATTATTTTTGTAAGATGTTTGTTTGTTTGAGCGCAGATGATGACTTCGGGTGACTTGTCAGATTGAATCCATGATAGATAATATGCTTAAAGGGCTAACCATAACTAAGATGTTAACCAGTCATGACAGCTTCCAAACTCAGCAACAATAGAATAAAAAGAAATACCTTTTTCCTACAACTAAGATCCAGCACAAGCCTTTGCTTCCCAACAATACGAACAAGATCTTTAAGCCTTGTAAGATCCATTTGTCCATTATTGAACACATACTGTGATAGAACCAAGAAACATACAACATATTAAATGGGAAGTTCCAAAACATTTAACTTCAGACCAATTATCTTTTCTAATGACATCTTAATTATCTTCTATATTCTACTACTACAACAACTCAACGAGGTTCAGTGTTGCAGGATTTCAGAATCGTGTTACATTGCCTCCAATATGGCTAATTCATTAAGCGATATCATAAATAGGTAAAAGGAAACAACTTACTGAAGTAACAATGACATGGCTAGCTCCTTCTTCGATATAACGAGAAGCATTTTCTGAATTTATCCCACCCCCAACTTGTAAGCCACCTATATGTTTCATCATTTATAGCATTAGATTAAGCAGAGGAACATTCTGAAAGTTTTTAAAATCTTTGACCATAGAGTCTATGTGCACAGGAGTATCCTAAAAAACTGTCAAGACTATAAGAAATCAGGGAAATTACCGAAAATTAAATAGACCACAAACAAATACTAATGTTCACTTGGATGCCAGGTAAAATACATCTAAAGATATCCACAAGTAGATGCAGCATCCAACATGACACTATAATTAAATAAAACCAAGAATGACTAGCAAAGAGGAGATAATAACACCAACAAAATCGAACCAACCTATTGAGATAAACAGGGAATTTAAGCGCCATAGAATGTTACTGTTGAACTTAACAAGGGGAAAAAAAAAGAACAGACCAGGATAGGCATGCAATGCTTCGATGGCCGCAGCTATGCTCAAAGGATCTGCTCCAAGCATGATGGCATGACCACCTGTAAGCCCATCTTGTTTATACAAGTTTGCATACTCTGCAGCTGATTTATCTGACTCAAAATTGGTGAGAAGAGTTGATCCCTCCTGCTCTGAATCTCGGAGAGTCGATCCAACAATTTGTTTCACTTTCCCCTTACAAAATCATATCTCAAACATGAAAATCAGATTAAGATCAGAGGAAACACAATATTTTCCAACTTTAACCGAGGAATTAGAAGCCGTATTGATTATTATATTCGGTACTTAAATAAGGTGTTGAAATTGTAAATTGCGTAATTGAATCCCACTAGTTGCACGATTCAAAAAGTCATTTAACATAATAAATCTGTGGAAGTTGAGGAATGTAGCCAAACAAGAGATAAAATACCTTGTGAATATCAATACAAGGGCGGAAACTAACCGCGCAAACAGTCATTCTTGAGGATCCTGCCCAGAATCAAAACGAGAGCTAAATTTTTTACGAGTTACAATAAAGCACAATACATGCGAATATCTCAAGAAGGCCAATGCCGGATTACTGAAAGATAATGAAGTCGTCGCTCTAATGATTCCAAGCTTCATAGCTCCATAATTAGAAGAGCTCGAAACTCCGAGAAACGCACAGAGACTGGAACTTCTTGTAGAACAAAGGCTTTGGAACTTCATTTCAATCCAATGAAGCTGATTTATCGCCTTCGAAACTGTAAAGGGAAATGTCGATTCCATAAAAAATGAATTAAAATAACATCCATCAAGTGCAAAGGAGAGAAGGTTTCGTGTGATTAAACTAGAAATACGAAGAGGAAGAGGAAATTAGAAAAAGAAGAAGCGGAGAGAAAGGTTGTGAGAAATCAGACCAGTAGCAGGCGGCGATTGTGCGACGGAATTGGTGGCTGAAGATGGCCGGCGCAAGCGAGCTTGAGCGTCAATGGAGGAGGTCAGAGGGAATAGAGACAGAAATATGCGACCTCAAATCCACAGTTCTTCAGTGGAATCTCTGCTGGGGAAATCAATACGGAAGAGACGACAGGGATGGTCCCGGATGCCCAAAAAAAGAAATACCATATTTTGGTTAAAACTTATCTTTTAATTATTTTTTCCATTTTAATCTTTATAAATAATTAGTATTTAAATGTTTAATTTTCTTTGTCTAAACTTAAACCGAGGTAAATAATATTTTATGAATGTAATTATCTATACATTTTCGCAAGTACATTTAGCTCAATTAATCATTTTTTTTTAATAATTATTAACCATTCGTGAGGGTGAAAAAATTAGAAACTTTAACCTCTTAGGTGAAGGTATGAGTTGAACAATACCTGGGTTAAAGAAGACAATCCCTCGAAAAAAAAAAATAAGGCAAAAAAAGCATACTTGTCGATGATAACAAGAGCGTAACCAGTAGCACCAATATCACCCCGTCCAATTCCCTTTACTAGTAAGAGGAGCCACCACCAAGTCCGATAATCCAACTCCATATCGAGATATCCTTATAATCATACAATTTTAAACGGTGCTTTTATAAGTCTAGACCCACTTGATTTGCTATGTAATAATATAGCCTGATAAAAGAGGAACATTTGATTGGTAATTCCATAGATGAACATGAATAATGAGAAACGACATCGAAAGAGACCACCAAGCTCAAGAGTCAATATATAAGGTGCCCACAATCCGACATCTAAAACTTATTTCAAAAAAATTAATCAGATGACTGTAGTTATAAACAATGAAATGATGAGAACCAAATCATCGAGGCAACTATCATTCTTCTGATTGTCTTTGCCCCAAAACCGAAATGTCGTCGTAGCGTTTCTGCAGCAAAAGGGGTAAACAATCAAAATTCAAAGCTAATACTCGGCCACAAACATTGCTTATAGTAATAAGTTTCCAGATTGAAGTTCTATCTCAGAAATTTGGCAACTACTTTGCAGAACTCATGTATGCCAATAAACATCTCCAATAACTCGAGAGGGGTAAGTTGAACTGGGTGGAGAGGAAACAATACTTAAACTGATGGACAGACCTTTTAGTATCGGTGAAGGTTCACACTAGCTTGCATGAACCTCGACTATTTCCACAAGACAATCATCTCATGAACATTTATTCTCGCAAGAAAACCACTTAACTCTACTACATGTAGTTGCCAAATACTTCGTAGTATATCAAGGCACCATAGTTAAACTCATTCCCTTAAGCCCTTAACTATGTACATTGTTCTTATTGATCTAGTTGAAAAAACATTTATATTTAGAATGTTTCCCATTTCTCATTTCTAACTTTTTCAAAGCATATCCAATTTCCTGTTAATTGGTTTCTCATTCTTGTTTCAACATTTTGAAAACATCAATGAAATTGTAATCTTTATAGTTTTGGTTCATATATTGCATATAGAATGTACAAAAACAAAAAATTGACACAAAATTTTGACCATTTTATTCCACTCTCAGTAAAAATAAGCATAATAAACAAAAAAAAGGTTCACAAATTGGTCCCATTCAGAAAGCAAACTTAAAGTTTAATGTGATATGATAAATGAGGTAGTGATTTTCGACTTCAGTTCCCTGACAATTGCAAAGACTATTCAAATTAAAGAAAAATAAACCAAAGGATAGTTATGTCATACCCCAACATTGTTGTATTCCCAGAGCTTGTGAACTCCATAATCCACAGCCTACAACAGGAAAGCCAAAACTAGTAAGAAGCTAATACCGATGTTCATAGTCTTACACAACCCAGAAAACCAAAATAATTTTAAAAAATAAACCTAAGGAACGCCAAATAATTTTGTAGCAAGCAATGGAATGCATGTTCCAGCAAATGGTACAGAAGAATGAATGTGAAAACGGTTGACAAAATTTTCATACCCCAAAATGATGAAATACTTCACCCCTCAGATTTAACGAGCTTTAAGAAGAACAAATGAAAGAATTCTCCTAGTATCGGGAGGTTAGGCAAGCCAATTGCATAATCCAAAAGAAAACACGCTAAAACTCTACAGAGATCATTTGGCCGGAACGAATTTACATGAAAATAAACAAGCATATCATTAGATCTTCAAGGTTCCATATTAAACTTTCAAGTCCATAGATTTCTTCACAGCCGCAAAATCAAAAACCGAATTCCTTCCAGAAAGCAACTTCTGTCCAAAACGTCCAAGAAATTGCTCTGTTTTTTTCCTCTCCTTTTCAGCAATGGAGATTATCGGTTCGAATTAACAAAACGAAGATAACATTAGTAAGCCAGTTAATTTCAGAATTCAACATTTCGACAATTAGAAATGGTTCCTACATCCGAATCTCGCAAATCCAGATAAACCAATTGACAAAGTAATACGGTCTATTGCCCACTGAAATTGTATTTTTCTTCTCACTTCTCTCTATCCCTCAGCAAGCAGGTAACTCAAGGAACCAAAAAGATGAATCCAGTGCACAATAAAGAGATGATTTATGATCCTTACCCGCTCTCCAGCGAAAGCGCCGGCGATAATGAAGGTGACGTAAACGGAATTCCGGCGCATAATTACTCTGTAAAGCCCTTCAAGGAGGCCTCCTCCACTCCTACGCGCTGTATAATCCATGATCGTGCTAATCTGAACTTCTTTCCTCCTGATCTGTGCGAGTTAGGTTTCGCAGATCTCCAGCGACGCCGTTGAAGTTGAGACGATTGATGGGGGGAACTCTGTTTTGTTATTTGATTGATCGATTCAAGCGAACATCTAAACATCGAACCGCGTGGTTTTTTTTTTTTTTTTTAATACAATCGGAGCGTGTGAAATTAAACTCAACAGGGAAGTTTTTTCTTTGACAAAAATAAAAACTATAAAAATTACCAGTTAAAATTAATCTTTAAGCACAATATATTATTAGTCAATAAATATACTAAAAATCAGTTTCTAAATCGATTAAGACTAAATTTAAGATAATATTATATTATATTTTTTTGAAATATTATTGAATTTTATTATGATGTTTTATATGTTTTTTTCTTAGAAATTATATTGAAAAATTTAAATAATACCATAAAAAAAATATATGAAATGAATATATATATTGTACTTTGAGTTGAAATAAAAATAATTAGAAAATTTTGTGGAGATGAAAATTGAAATTAAAAAATGGGACCCATTCCACGAAGACATTTTTTTAGAACAAGCATTCAAATACATGACTTTAATTAGTTGAGTTATATTTAGTTTGACCTAAATTTCTTATTTGCTCAAAATTATATTAATTTTATTACCAAAAATATAGAAATTAAAAGTTGTCTGAGTTTAATTCTTAAATTATTAATTTTATATATATTTAATTTCAATTATGTGCTTTCTTAGAAAGATTGCTCTCATTGGCTCCCATAATTTAATACATTTCAAGCAATTCTCTATACATCACACAATATGATTGTGTCCCATTAATATTTAATTTTATTGTTCAACTAATTTTCCACTAAATTAATAAATTTATTTATGATAAAACTTCCGTTTTAATAAGCAAATATTATAATTTTTTTCAAACTCAAGTGGATATATATATATATATTAAAAGGCTTCACATGAACTAACTCGTTCAAGAAACTCTTATCTACTAATCTTCGTCGTCTAATTCAAACAAAAAGGTTTCAAGTGTAACCAAATTAATAATGAAAAGGAGGACTATGAGTATGAGATCGACGTTTTACCTTTCAGATCACAATGGAGTAGAAATATTGTTCATCCGACGACAAATTCGATCGGATTCGGTCCTACGGAGCAAACATCTAAAATCTTCCGGTGGGCCCCGATGGCGTGCACTAACTACGCGATGATCCCTCGCATGGCGGAAGAGTCAATGCTCTACACCTACTCCACGTCTTTACCGCCCTCGCTTACGCTCCACAAACTGGATCTTCTACTCGATGTGAATCGCTCCAAACCGCCCAAGGACGGCGGTTCGGTTTCGTCGCGCGGCGGATGATTAGTGGCGGAAGGAGGTGCTCTGATGTCCTGTTCGGGAGGCGAGTTAGCGAGGGAAGATGCAGTCGGCTCGATGACTGGTTGCCTTCTTCTACCGTTCCGGAAAACAGCGCGGAAACTCGCGAAGAATCCTTTCCTCTGTTTCTCGACTGGTTTCTTCTCCTTTGCGTTTGTTGCTATTTCTGCTTCTGATGAGTGATGGTGATTATTAGTCTTCTGCCGATTTCGGTCCTTCTTCGATCTCACTCTCCCCATACACGATACCTTGGGAGAAGAAGGCTCGATCATCGACGAAACCGATTTTCCACCGGATCCTGATCGTTTCGGAAACAACCGTATGTTTCCGGACTTGCAATTACGTCGATTCTTCGCATCGACATAGGTAGTGTTCTGAGGCTTCGGCAATCCAATAATCGAGGCCTTCGACTTCAAATTCAACGAAAATCGCTGCGAATTGGAATTAGATTGCGTATGTAAATTAGGATTCAAATTCGTGGAATTAGAACTGGCCTTAGTGGATTCTTTCCGCTCCAAGAAGGCATTTCGATCGAACCAGTCGAACTCCGCATCCTTGGAGAGCCAGAAAGATTCCGGTGGGAAGTCAGGAGGAACTTCTGGCCGATCCGGCTCCTCCTCCAATGGCATCCGCTCTGCTTTCCGTTCATCAGCAACACCGCCGGTGAGGAAGGCCTGTAAATCGCCCTGCGGCATCGTACAAGAAATCGAAATCAACAGAGAAAATCGAGAGATGCAAAAGAGAAGAATTCTTGAATTGAATGAATAATAAGTATGGAGATCCTTTTCTCTGTCTTCTTCGGTGTTCTCCGTGCGCCAATTAGGTGCAGAAAAGCCTTTTTTTAATTTAAATGTTTTATTTTAATTATATAGCCATATTTTTCGTGTTATTAAAAATTGATTAGACCTTATAATTATACTACAACATAATTTTTTTCTGTTCAACATAATTATTTTCCAAAAAATATTTAATTGGGTAGATTCAAACCTACCGTTTCCTTCCGTTGGGCCCACTTATTTTTAATGTTTTTTTTTTAATTTTATGGTAGAGTGCAATTCTTTTATATGAG